AGCGCTCCGACCGAATCTATTTTTATTTTCATCCGATACGCCGAAATGAATTCAATGGCGTTTGAATGGGGTTTTAATGTGTAAGGCGTAATATAGAATCCGTAGGCCGAGTTTGGGGTCAAGAAGCAGTGTTAGATTTTTAACAATATCTCAACAATTTGTTTATATTTAGCAAATCTTACGGTACGTACGGAAAGGTAAATAAATTTAGAAGTCATCTGCAGTAAATACATTTCATTTTGTGAAAAAAATCCTCTCGAAAAATAGAGGCAAAGGGCGGGTTGTGCCTAGTGATGTGATGTGATGTGATGTGATGTGATGTGATGTGATGTGATGTGATGTGATGTGATGTGATGTGATGTGAATGGAACCCACCATCAGTGCACGGATTACCAATGTCTGCAGATACTTTACCGGTTGTAAAGTTCTGCATGATGGTTTGTTGCAGCAGGGTAAATCAGCTTCATTGAAGACCTTTGGAAGACAAAACGACCAGATGTCCATCTGTAATCACGTGACAAGGGACTGGCAAATCCACGAACCCTAGTCCAGTCAACAAATCCTTTGATTCCCTTAGGCTGCCCCTCCCTAATAAAAATTGTATGGTTAATTTGCTTAACGACGTGTTCTGGGTATCATCCAAACCATTTGTGGAATAGTTCAATAATTTGGGTTATCGTTCGTTTATGGTTATTTTTTATTAGGGCTTCCTAACCCAATATATTATATAATGTTTTAAAATATATGATTTACAGTAATGTTACACCACATATTCAAAAATGTGCAGACATTTGGCGTTCAATGATGATTTCAAATACACAAAAAAAATGGGATGTGTGGATAAAATGCCATTAAGAATTTGCCAAATTTAAGAGAATCATGTAAATTTAGTTTATATAGATAAAATCAGATACGATCTCACCAAGTTAGTCCAAATGAATCCACAGAAAGCATCCGTGCCATTGTTGCATTGTAGTTCCAATCAAAGACGGTTTGCTTGATGGGGATCGACATAAACTAGTCCCGTCCTATGTACAACCGATTTGAAGTGTCCAATCGTCGAAAATGTTAACCGGATATAACCAAATAAGCATAAAAAAACTCCGAGAAAAAAAAACGAACGTCATGTTCGTTTACACGCGCGGGTTGTGTTTAGTAGGCTCAAAATTAGATCTAAGTCCTAATATCACTTTTCGATCCGAGGCCCGTAGGTCCAACCCTATCAAAACGCATGTTGCAAAACTGTTGAGGCAACTTTTATGTGACTTATTTCAGCCTTTCAAATCTTTCTACCTGCGAGATCGGAAAAATAATGTGTTTTGTGTGTGTGTGTCTGTGAGTGTAACTGCCCAGCTTTTCTCGGCAATAGGCAAACCGATTTAAGCGAGTTCCAGTTTTTTTAAATGGTCAAATCTTCATGCATATTTGTTTGAATGACAACTTTTTGAAGAGCTTTGAGTGTGTTGGTTTATTTCCCTTAAATTCCGTTATAATTGCTTATCTTTTGACAGATACGCGTATTTCGTCCACTACTTGCAGACTTCATCAGTGCCAAGTACTCAACACCACTCACGTAAACAACTTTTTGCCCATAGGATGCGCCATGCTGTCAGTAGAGGTGAAATTAAAACTGACAGCTTACATTAATCCATTACAATGTCGGTTATACATGGTCTGACACTCTGTTGAACTCGAAACAATCCGGACAAAATACGTTTTATTTTTCATAATTCAATGCAACTGATATACTATTCGGTTAATTCCAAGAATAATATTTTTGAATCAACAAACCGGTTGTAGAGTCAATAATCTGTTTGTTGATTCTAAAACCATTTTTTTTATGGTACGCAGAAAAATTGACAAAAATCAATTTTTCTGCGTGTAAGATCATTGTTTCAGTCTGAACAATTTCATACAAATTCGCAAATCTGTTTATTTTTTTTTATTTTTTTATTTGGTTGAAAATTTGCAGAAACTTTCCTTATAGTCGGCCATTTTGCATCTTCATATCGCCAATTTGAATCCAGCCCGATCTGTTTGGTGTCTTCGGCAATATTTCAGATAATGAATGAGACTATTTAAAAAAAATATGCACTCTAAAAAAATTACCCGACCTTTTTTTTTATTCCAAAGAAAGTGTTGTAATCATTTTTTCTCAAAAGGTTTTTTTTTTATATTTTTCATTTGTTGATATGTTTTAGGGAAAATTCTAAAAGAATTGAAAAATTCTTGGATTCCTTAATTTTACATGACATGTGGAAGGCTTAGACTCCCTATTTCATCCCGCAATACATATAAGTTATGGCAATCGGGCCCGACTGTGAATCAGATGACCGATAATCCTCTTTAATTTGCAAACGGCAACTGAGAATAAGTCAGAGAGAGAGAGAGAGAAAGAGAGGGAGAGAGAGAAAAGAGAGAGAGAGAGAAAAGAGAGAGAGAGAGAGAAAAGAGAGAGAGAGAGAAAAGAGAGAGAGAGAGAAAAGAGAGAGAGAGAGAAAAGAGAGAGAGAGAAAAGAGAGAGAGACAGAGAAAAGAGAGAGAGAAAAGAGAGAGAGAGAGAGAGAGGAAAGAGAGACAGAGAAAAGAGAGACAGAGAAAAGAGAGAGAGAGAAAAGAGAGAGAGAGAAAAGAGAGAGAGAGAGAAGAGAGAGAGAGGAGAGAGAGAGAGGAGAGAGAGAGAGAGAGAGAGAGAGAGAAGAGAGAGAGAGAGAGAGAGAGAGAGAGAGAGAGAGAGAGAGAGAGAGAGAGAGTCACTTCTGCTCAGTGGTAAGAGAAATTTCTAAAAAAAACTGTAGGTACCCAGCGCTGAGTTCCTGCACTTTTGAGAAATGTCTCCATACCTTCGAGTAAGAGTGATTCTCTCTCTGAGTTATTCTTAGTGGTCAGCTTGTGTTTTCACATGATAACTTTTGGCTCACTTCTACACAAAACCGGCACTGTCGAATAGCTCGGTATTTATTTTTACTGAGATCTCAGCAATTTTTTTGGTTTTAACTGAGATCTCAGTAAAAATTGCGTCTGTTGGCTGAATCTCGGCGTATTCATCACTGAGATCCAGCAAAATAAAATGCTGAGCTAGTCGACTAGTACCACCAGGTAAAAATCACTGCGTTGTTTTATTATAATTATTTTTTCTGGCAATCTCGGCAATAAAAACTATGTACTTTAGTGTATGGAGAGAGCTATTAATTTATAAGCGGAATAAAAGCTTTTGATTCTTTATTCAAGGGGAAGTTTACCGCTCAAAACAAAAAAAAATACGTTTTGGTTTTTCTAGAAATATTGGAAAAATATTTCCAGAATAAAATAAAAAAAAAAAAAACATTTTTTCTAATTGTTCAAAGAATATTCACGTGCAAAAACATTTTTTATAAGTAATCACGGCACAAAATTAGACACAAAAAACCACAAAACATCGACTTTTCGGTTTTGCTGAGGGTCCATTTTTTTAAAGATGCGATAAAAAAATACTTTTACATGTAAATTTTCCCATGAATCTAAGAAAAAGATGATTTTTTTGGATTTTTGATAATTTTCCCCAATATTTTTCGAAAAATAAAAACGTGCCGGAAAAAATATATTCTCGGGACGGTAATCTTTCTCTTAATGGAAAGTTTACCACTATATCCTTTCAATGTACTCTATGGAAAATCTGTATATTTTCAATTGTAAATATAATCTAAACCATCCGGGAAATTTTTGAACATCTGTAGAAGTGACTAGTCCACGAAGCATACCTTATAGTGTTGTATTTTTCATTAATCAATAGGGTTCGTGGTTAATATGTAAACAAAAGATTGTGAACTGAATCTGGACCTTGAATGGCTCCTGACTTCTGGAGGGTCCGGAACTTCCACAGAAGTTGTCACAGAATATAAGATGCTGCGATTTAATAATATTTAATATTTATTTAATATATAATTTATCAATACGGATCGTTGTGAACGTGTGGATTGATAATAAAACTAAGATGACCACGAGCTGATCTTCTGGAACACCCGAGAAGTGGTCGCTTCATTAAACAGGACTTTGAGGTCTGTCATGGCGACCTTTCAGATCAATTTCACTAATTATTTCTAAGCAATGTTTGCTTTGTTTATTTGAATATTACGCCATCCGATGGTAGGGTAAATGTTGGCTTCGGCACCCATTGACTGTTTTCGGCAACCAAAATTTAAACGTTAATTTCACTATGTTTTCCCATCAACGCACTTCCCTGAATGTGTCCAAACGATTGTTTAGCCTTTCAGCTTCAATCTGATTATATTTGAACGATCGAGCAATCCAGTAATGCTACATTTTTCTTCAAATAAAGCATACGCACTACAAAATGAGGTTGATTTCGAGTTGCCGATAATAGAACAGCTGGTTAACACGCAGTTCTAATGGGAAGGTTGCCGAAGAAAAAGAGACTGCCGACAATAGTCACACTCACCTGAGAAGTTTGGAGCGTTGTAAAAACGCATTCAAAACGTTTTGAAAAATTCTGTCGATTGGAATGGATAGAGAAGCAAGCAGCAGATGAATGTAAACAAACAGACACATCATATATGTGCGTGACGCTGAGAAAATGCTAGTAGAAGTGCAGACGCTGCTTAGATTGACGAGAATACGTAAATTCCCCTACATAGAGTAAATTTGAACAAAACATATCTATACGTTTATGAAAATGAAAAGTCTTGATTTTGTCCCTGGTCACTGACTTCCAGTAGTATGTCTTTTTTTTTCCTTGATATGTTTTCCGTTGATCTTGTTATCCATACTGAGTACCAATGCTTCCACACCTGGAACCTACCAGGTTATTTTATGCCTTAGAGGATTGAACCAAGGCCCCGGGGTGAGAGGCAATCACGCTTACCAATACAACACCGGCGCCGCTGTAGTATACCGTTGTAGGAGGGTTGAGTGTGTAAATAAGCAAATCAAGAAAATAAACTACAAAAAACAACCATCACTCTGATAAACTTAGACTGAACAATAATTTCTTTCTATTACAGGTAATTGCCAGCATTCTACAGTACACACACCAAAGGAAAACAGTTACTAACCATCACCAGTGACCAAATAAACACGTCAAATTCAGTTAGACACTATAATTTATTCGTCAACTAACCTTTAGTGTAATTTTCGAGGCACCGTAAACAAAACCAACAAAACTATATAGAACACTCGGAATCGCGCCAGATTGCGCCGTATGAAATTCTCAATATATAGCCCCATCGCTCTCTTTTGGCTGTTCTTTTGTGACGATTGTGACAGACAATTCTAGTAAACGATCCGTGACGTATCACTGCACTATCATACTACCGCAGGCGAACTATGGCGATGATCATTATTACGTTGATACTGGATGAATCAAAACAAAAGTAGAACAATCCGCGAAAACTGATTTTTGATGAGCGCGTTTGCAGAAATAATAGCGTTACAACTGAAACTAAAGTCGCGGGAAGCGGGTAGGGTCGTCGGGTTCGGTACGCTAATTTACTTCCGGAAAACGTTTGACGATAATGGAAGGGGAACTAATGCACGTGACGCGTGCATATGGGATTCAATTAAAGGCAAAGCAAGTTGATAGCTTAGTTATTGTCGAGTAATCCTGCGGAACTGTAGCAATTTCTCATAACTTGGTGGCGAAGAAAGTCATTTGAAAAAGCTTATCTGACCAGCAGTGTTAAGTGTAACTTTTTAAATTAGAATTACTGATAATAGTGATATTAGAGCGTGTTTTGAATCAATGGAATCACAAACTGGTGCGTCTGGTCGTATTTTGATAATTCTAATCGATATTAAACATCGTTAACGTACATCACAAGTAGCAGGATTTCGTACTAAAATTCTAGCCATGAAAATAACGGATTTGGGTAAGTTGCGTCTTTTGTTTTCAGTAGATATGTTAAGGCCCACGCACATTGCAGCCATTGGTGATATGTTGCGAGAAATCGGACTGTTAGGCAATAGTTTTAGCAATCATTTTGGCGCAACGTATCATTAACGAATGCAATGTGCGTGGACCTTTATTGTCATTATTGTGCGTTTTCATTGCATTTATTCACTTTGCTAGCATAATACCCAGCCTCAAAAACATGACAAATATCAAAAGCAAAAAAAAAATTCTGAAGCAATGTTTATTTTCAATCTCTCACTTTGCAAAATTCAGCTCTATGACTCATTCGGCCCAATGGCGTTTGAAATGTATTTTTTGAATTTATCACAGGGAAGTTTCAGGACTTGATCTTAGACATCATCAATAACCTGAATTTTGTTACCATCATGGAGCTTTGTTTTTTTTTTGTCAAATCTCATTCATTGAGTCTCCCTGAGAGAATAAACTCGTGTGTGAATCTGCACTTGAGATTCTTATGCATTTTCACGCACTCACAATGCCAAACAATCATTTCAGCTTAACCATCATAAAAACCGCTCAAACGTCAATCGATAGCATGCTAATGAGTGTTGTGTTAGTTTTCCATCCACTGAGACAAAAACAACAGTATGTAATAACTATGAATAACGCAAAAATATCGAGTAATGAATTTTTGAACCTGAAAACCTGATTTTTGGGTACCGTCCTGATTCATATTTCGGACACTTAAGACATGTGCTGCAGTAAACGGACATATAATTTATGGTAATACATTATTTAGCTTAATTTCTTCGATACATTACTGAAGTATTTTTTAATTTGAGCTATCTGAGATGATATTTTAAAGAAAATATCATAGATTTTTTTCAGTGGCGCCGGTGGTGTAGTGGTAAGCGTGATTACCTCTCACCCAAATATAACAAAAAATAAAAAGAAAATCATTGTTTTTTTTTTCGGAAAAAAAGTGACTTCTAAGATTCAAACTTTGGACACTTATCTTTGAGTAGATTCAAAATTCGAAATTCGGGCAGAAAAGATTCAAATTTTGAACCGTTTTGGTTTGTAGAAACTTGCTGATGATATTTCATTTTCATTTTCATTTTGGCGTTTCTGGTGTGTTTATGCACCATCCATGCTATACCAGTAGACAGGGGGTTGGCATCACAGCAGGTTAAATAAGTTCTGTGTAATTCACGAATGTGTAACAGGGCGAGCTCCAGTAACGCCACCGCTAGGGCAACATTTCGACAAATCACCCAAATCGCCATTCGTGAATTAGCTGCCTTAGGAGAAAAGTCAGGGGGGGGGAGGGAAGATGCCGGAACATAAATAGCTGAAACTTAAATTGGCTGAATACATTATATATACAATACAATTAATAAAGTTAATAAGAAACTACCTGGTTGTGTACATTTGTGACTATGTGCATTACAATGTTGTTGTTGGTATTCTTGAGGGTACACCGGCTTCTACATATCGTCCCATGCACTTTGAAGCTGTTAGTGCTTTCGTTCCACCAGCATCCTTGGTTCTTCAACGGTCTCTATCGCTTCTTCGGCAACATTCGATCAACTTTGACACCTTCCTTCGAAGAAGGGGAAATGGCTCTAACATTGGGCCCATCGCTAAAAATCTGCTATTGATCAACTTTATCTAGATGAACACGTCATTGGGACGGTACTAATTGATATTTTTGGTTGCTATTGAAAATTTAGTCGATTGCTGAATTAATGTATGGGCCCAAATTAGGGACACTTAGGCCGACATTACATACATTTCCCCTATGTTGTTTTAGAAATATATAAGCAAAATCGCCACGCAGCTATACATTCCAAACCATCAATAATTAGTTCAGAACAAAAAGCAAATCCCACTTACTTTAAAAGCATTTTTGGTCCACATTACCACTGATCTGGTAACACTAGTGTGCATCTTTCCAATGAGGTAAAAATTCAGACCAGTCATGGGACCTGGTAGCCTAATCCAACTACCTCAAGGTTTTACCAGTGCCCAGGGAGAAACTTGCTGATGATATTCGACACCGTTTGTTGCGTCACCCCGACCAAATTCGCGATTGTGTTCTGTGAACGATTAGGATTTTCTAACCACTTGTCCAAAATAAGATTTCGCAGCTCCTGTGTCTTTTTCAAAACTTCAATTTAAAAGTAAACAATATGCATAATTATCAAAAGTGAAATATGATTTTATACTGTTTTCCTTTCTTTGAAATCTATTCGTGCATTAACATTTGGTTTTCAGATGCCTGGTCAGAACACTAATTTTACTTAATATTTAATGAAGTAATATGATTAATACTATCTTTTCAATATTCCATTCTTAGAAAAACGTTCATTCCAACAATTGGGTGAAGTTTTAGATTTTGACTTTTTGTTCATTAGATTTCAAGTCCCCTTTGACCTTCCGTTTTGTCAACCTTCTGTCCTTGTGACCAGGCATGAAAAATCATTTACATTCATTTCGTTCATTAATCATTTTATAAAATTCGGCTGATGAAAAAAGTTAGATGCAAATGAATGTAAGAAAGCACGAAATGAATGTAAATGATTTTCCATGCCTGGTTGCGACCATTTATCCTTCGACCTTTTATCATCGATGCTAAAGTGAACTGTCCAAACTTAACAAATGCATTAATGGCTTTTCGTTCATTTTCAACTTGTAGATTTGTAGAAATACTTCAAATCTCCTCATCCATTGTATGAGTTAGGTAAAGAAGTGTGTGTTTGACTAATACTGTCGCATTAATGGCCCTTCGCTCATTTTCAACTTCTATTCAATTTTCATACTGTCGTACTCTAGCATTATCTATCTACCCTCTTCAGAACTTTCTCTAGCTAGTAAATTATCACACTAAAGCTTCGTGTTAGATATTTTTTGCAACCAATTCTTAAAAAAACTTTGTTCTAATTGCGTTTATAAATATGATTTTTTTTTCTGGTAAAACAACAACTTTATTTTCACAAACGATTTCAAGACATGACAATCGGTTTTAAGTGATCAGTTTTACAATCAAAACCATCAAAAGTTGAAGTTTATACAGAATTACAAGAATGAAGTCTCACCCATCTGATTAATTTTAAGTTTGCAACCTTAAATTTAAAAGTTCGGTATTGCACATTATTTTGCTAGTTTTGGATCTTGAAAACTACTCACGTTCCCTTCTACCTGTTCTACCTAATCTCCCCCTTCATGTCCGGATTATTAATTTAAAGTAAAACAACCAGAACCTCGAAGATTTATGTAAATCCAGGATAGTATTATTTTTTTAAGCATGAAATCTTAAAGAATCTAATCCTCAGATTTTCAATTTTTCCTTTATCTGTGACCAGGATCTCGAAATATTTTATGGAAAAAATTACTTCTCTTCAAATTTCCTCCATAATACTCTTGAAAATCTTCTGCAGAACACTGAAATGCAGTTCATATTATTATTAATTCTAGCAATTCCCCGAAAAAAGACTCCTGAAAAAAAAAATCACTTGGAGTTCTCCTCATCATGCACTTAGTATTCTAATTTTTCGTTCTGGTCAGAAGTTCCATTAATTCTTTGAAATAGTTCCATAATTTTCTTGGAACTTTCTTCCGGAATCTCCGGAATATCCTTGGAATACATATCAGAATACCTTTGAAATTGGAGGCGAACCAGCCCCAGGCTGAAGCCTTCCTAATAAAAAAAAACCTAACCTACCATAGAAATTTTGTTAGAACTATCCTTGAAATTGAGAATTCAATTCCCTTGGAATTACCTTAACATTTTCCTTAAAATTGTTTTGAAATACTCACAAGAAGAATTATTTTCAGTATTATTTTTCTTAAAAATGAAAACCAAATTAAATTAATTTTATTGCGTGGTAATTTCTTCTATGCACCCAATTTTTTATTGAAATTTGAATGGTAATCATTTTCAAGATAATTTGCTTTTCAAATTAAAATGTTTTAAAAGAATGTTTCAGAAAAGCTAGGCCGCTTTTATTCAATAGAATGTCGTATTTTTTCCCTTGATTTGTTTTTCCGTCGATCTTGTTTTCCGTGCTGAGCTACCGACGCCAGGGAGATAGCTCCAACCTGGCCCTAACTATAGACCCATCAACTCATGAACCGGGGACCAACGGCTTTACTTCCCTTCCGAAAGAAGGTGTGATCAGAGATGTTATGCCTCAGCACATCCCGGCGGCGCCAACTGGAAACTGGAAATCCAGGCCTGCTGGGGTGAAAGATAATCACATCGCTACAATAGAATCTCATGGTGAAAGGGTGTTTTATTATTTTCACTAAATACTCAGAATTTATACTACCATGAACAAAACTAACTGAAGATAACACATTATCAAAGAGCACAAACAATACCCTCTTAGGTCAGTCGGTAAAGGCGCAGCTACGAAGCAAGTCCATGCTGAAGGCGGCTGGGCTCGATTCTCGTCCTGTTTTTTTTTTTTAATTTTTCGGGTTGGATAATTTGTCGACTTCCTTGGGCATAAGATGTCACAGGTATAGGTATTAGACTGATGCAAACTTCGAAATTTTCGCTCCACAGTGCTTAAAAGGTTCCAAATTGGGTCCTGCTTAACCTCCCAAAATTTGAACTTCTTTAGTAAGAAACTGACTTGGCACAAACAATTTCAAGTTTATATGGGAATTACTATCGGAAAACTTATGTTTTTGTTGATTTCTATCTAACAATTCACCACATCACTATGCTTTTAAAAATGATAGCAGTGATTGTAGCAAAATTTCCCAGCTACAACTTTGTTCAAACCCACTTTTCAATCAAATGTAAGGAACAAAAGTTATTAATGATTCAACTCACTGATGTCTTATGATTATGCTCATTCAACTGTTCATCAGGCAACATTGGTGTTTCTGGTGCGAATAATAGAGCACAAATATCATGGCTACTATGTCACACTGCAGAATACAGTGTTGCCTACAGAACAGCTGCTTGATCATGCCATAAGATTATCAATCTTTTAAACAATTAATAACAATTTAATTTTACATTTGGCTGAAAAACGATATTCGGCAAAGTTGTAGCTTAGAAAATTTCCCCTAAGAATAGTTTTAGAAATTTTCGAAAAAGCAATATGGAAAATGGGTAGAAGACAATGAACAAAACGTTTGGTTTTCCTATAGTAATTTCCATATAAACTTCGAATAGTTTGTTCCAAGTCAGTTTCTAACCAAATGAGTTTAAATTTTGGGAGGCTAAGCAGGACCGTTTCAGCACTGTGGAGCGAAAATTTCAAATTTTGCATCAGTCTAATAGGTATCTTGCAATTAAAATGTGGGAGTGCTTCAAAGAACACTAAGTTGAGAGCAGTTAATAAGCTTGAAAATACCATGCAGTAGTAATACAAATAATCTTCACAAAATATATGCTGCATATCGAACGTGATACTTCGTACCTGGACGTAAGTGTAAACATCGAGGCTTGCTATGTTGCAACAGAAAGAGCAGACGAAATCGATGACCGCTTCTTATACGCCTTTAGCCTACTCATCTTCCAGAGTAATGATAGACGAGTGGTGTACATGCAGGTCTAATACACTCAAAGTTCATAGTTCGAGCCTGGCCGGTTCCCATTTATAAATATTTTTAACATAATACCTTATTTCCATCGTGAACGCCTGGTTGCTGCATTTGAGTTCGAACGATGTTTTCAAACGCTGAAGCAAACGATGTACGAAAATAAACATTGTACTCACGTTGATGTGTGTGTTCGTTCGATGGAGTGCACGCGTGAACACAGTTAATGCTTATGTAGTTCAAAAGCCTGCTTGCATGCACATAGGTGCTTTTCTGTGCCTTGAAGACTGTTTTTAAGCAATCAAAACATGTTTTATTTGTCGTGGATTAGCATTTGAAGTTGTGGATTGTAGATTTCGCGGATCAAAGTTTAAAAATCTTGTAACAGCCCTGAACTGGTTCCACTACAATAGATCAAATTACTGGTCGCAGTAGTGTTATGTCCCGAACAGAGGAAAAAAAAACTGGTTCCAAAAAATCAGAAAAAAAAATCTAATTAAAATATAGTAGGTACTTACAAATAATTTCTAACTTTACCACAGAAAAAGAAAATTCGAAAAATATACTGCGTAAAAAACAGTTGGGTGTAGTCAACTATCTCTTACTCGATATTCCTCCCAGCCCTATGAACATACAGAATTACTCCGTTACTCGATATCCTCCCTTCACTGAACGAAAACATCTGCGATGCTTCGAATGATTATTGCATTGCTCGAGCCCGTTAACAATATGCTTTCGAATTTTGGATAATTGCCTTATGGTTGGATTCGTCCAAATAAAGGATGATATTTATTTGAAAATTGGCTGTAAAACATACAGCGCTCAGAGGACAACAATTTAGGGAAAAGATGACTTACAAATGCTGTATTAGATTTATAATTCGATTGTTTACATTTCCATATTGAATAGCCATTCATCATGGATACAAAAATCGTTTGTTGATAGATGAAACGTCCTCTGTCTACGGTCCATCCACATTTTCAAAAAAATGTATGGACGATTGTCTACGCAGGCGGAGGGAAATCCTCTCAAAAACTGTCTACGTAACAGCCTACAGGATCCGGATCATGCTTTCAATTTTTTTAAACTCATTTTTGTATGGTTTGTATTGGTTTTATAAATCTTAATTTCGAATTATTTTGTGCCTCGATTTTACACACATTTTTGAAAAGAAAATGTGCGTAAAATTGAAATAAACCCGTATCGTTTAATGCCAATCGATGGTTCTCGTTTAACTATCAACTTTGATGAAGACACCAAATCACGGAAACGCTTCGTTTTGGAGTTATAATTTATGTCCCGCTAGCTTGCATTCCTGGTCCATTGTGCAATGTGGGCGTTAGTAGAGTGGCAGTTTTTTTTTTACTGACAAGTGGACTTACTTCGCTTACTCAAATCGGGCTTTTCCGATGTTGTTACTGCTACGCTGTCACTCTAATTGCGTTTGGGTCTAAAGTTTACGGTGAATGTTGACCCACTTTTCCCTACATGACTTCACAGCCAGCACGTAGGAAAACAGATGCCATTGCAATTTTTGTTGGTGCCCTTGATTTCACTTGCTTGTAAACGTTGTTCCGAAATGCTTTGATTAAATATGCATCATTGGCAAAGAACACAGCCTGGTATCATTTTTCTGCCGTTTACGCATTTTGTTTATGCCTGCTAGGGGTCGGGTCGTAATTGATTTTCAGTGCCTAGATACTACTGAAGTGGATCCAGCGTTACGTTGCTAACGATTATTTTGCACCGTATTGTGTATCTGTCTCTTAGCATTACTAATTGCTTGAGAATGGGTGAAGCTTCCACTTCGGGTATTCATAATTCAAATGCTGTGGTGTTAATGATAGATCATATCGAATTTTTTTTTTCAAATAAATTACAGGAGGACGCTGCCATGGCCATCCACGAACGTTGGTTACGCTTATTTTGGGCACCATACTCGGGTTTGTGTTTGCAACATTGATCACCTCCAGCACTAGTCGAACCCCATGGCTTCCGGAGTACTACCATTCTAGAGAAGCTCCCGCGATAGTTAGTGATCCACACACGGGTCATGAATTGAAGGGAGCTGAGGGTCCCGAAGAGGAAGTGGGTAATCATGGGGCACTCGAGGAAGTTCATGCACATGAGAACTCGACGCTGGCCAATCAACTGTTCCGGGAGGTGCGAGTGCTCTGTTGGATCATGACAAATCCTAGTAATCATAAGGCAAAAGCATTACATGTCAAGCGCACGTGGGGCTCACGTTGTAATAAACTACTTTTCATGAGTTCGACAACCGGTGAGTAATATCTGTGTGCCACAAAAGTGCAAAAAAAAAATAAAATAATTTAATTTTTAGATCCAATTTTGAACAGTATAGCCTTGCCAGTGAAAGAAGGCCGTAACAATTTGTGGGCCAAAACAAAAGAAGCTTTTAAATACATCTACCAGCATCATCTGGATGATGCCGACTGGTTTATTAAGGCTGATGACGACACGTGAGTGGTTCAGCTATGGAATGCGATCCTTTTTGAAGTTGACAAGTTTTGTTTTTCAAATTATTATTTTCAGATACGTCGTGCTTGAAAATCTTAGATATATGCTGTATCCATACTCATCTAGCTTTCCAATGTACTTTGGGTGTAAATTCAAGCCATTTGTGAAGCAGGGCTATATGTCCGGTGGTGCTGGTTACGTGCTCAGCAAAGCGGCAGTAAAGCGCTTCGTTGAAGAGGCCATTCCTAATAAAAACTGTCGACAGGACAACGATGGCGCCGAAGATGTTGAAATGGGTAAGTTGTTTTTGTTTTGAATCAATGAATGATACAACGAATCAATTTTAATGTACAGGCAAATGCATGGAATTGGTAAAGGTGCTGGCAGGTGACTCAAGAGACTCTCTAGGACGGGGACGATTTTTCCCGTTTGTACCCGAACATCACCTAATTCCAAATCATGTAGACAAAGATTTCTGGTACTGGAAATACATCTACTATAAAACGGATGAAGTAAGTAACAAGCTCCGCCTAGAATTGATAAATCGGTAACACAATCTTATTCCCGTAGGGACTCGATTGCTGCTCGGATAATGCCATCTCCTTCCACTACGTTTCGCCCAATCAGATGTACGTTTTGGATTATCTGATCTACCATCTTCGGCCATATGGCATTGTAGGACATTCACAACCCCTTCCGAATAAGGTTTCCTTAGCGGAAATTGTCCATTCGGACGATCTCAGCAAAACTACCGAACGACCCTCTAAGGAAAAAGCACATAGCCAGAGTGAAGAGAAACAGGAGTCTAATTTGCTGGAAAAGTAGTTGTACCCCGAAACCAAGCTAAGTTCTACACTAGCTAGGCAAAGTATGTGATTAATTTTTGTGCTGTCGAGTGTTTGGGTTTGTGCGAATTCCGCAATTTTATTATAGTCCGTACAAAGTAATAATTTGTAGGCATTTATGAAATTAAACTTCATTCGCCATATTAAATAGTTGCTGTAAAGCAGAAATACCAAAGTTTTTAAAGTAAGTAAATATCCTACATAGTACCACTCATTCCTTGTAGAACTATGTTTAACGAATCTCGGAATAAAGTGACGTCATAATGAGTTGAAATTCTATGAAGTAAAGGAACTGTACTGTAGTATTGATGACATCGGTCCATGTTGAAGTTAATATCCCAGGATGGTGGTTGCCTCAGTAGGTGCTTAACATTCTCATTCCCATGGTAGCGCAAGTGATCCATAACTTCCGAGCGTCTCTTGATTGTCCATCTTGAATTAAATAGTCAGCATTTCAAGCTGAACATTACATTAGGTTCTAAGTAACATTGACGGATTCTCTTCGTCGACTTTCTCTTTCGCTAATAATTTAAGACAAAGTTAACCTCCGCGAAGTGGAAACGTCGTACAAGGAACTTCTTTTCTCGTCATGTAGAAACTATGTATCGGGAATTGAATCTTGTGTGAAACAATACCCTGCTTCTTTCTGGGATTTTTTTAGGAAACAGAAATCTTCCACCCGGATTCCATGTAACGTTCATTACGACGGAACTCATGCTTGCACCAACGCTGAAGCTGCTGACCTGTTTGCGACGTTCTTCGAGAGTGTGTTCACTAATGTGTCACCTGTACTTCGACATGACAGCTTTGCCCATATTACTGCACATAACATCACGCTTTCTGTTCTCCAGTTTTCTTCAGAGGAAATTCAAAAATCTCTTAACGATGTAGAAACGAACAAAGGGCCTGAGACAGACGGCATTCGTCCACTGTTATTGAAAAAATGTTCGTCCACACTAGTAACTAGTCTCCAATCGCTCGATTGTTCAACCGTTCGCTGCAGGACAGGACTTTTCCAACTGCGTGGAAAACGGCATCGATAGTACCAATCCATAAATCTGGCAGCTGTAATCGCGTGGATAATTATCGTGGGGTGTCTAAACTTTGCTGCAAGGTTTTGGAAAAGTTGGTCCACAAGGTCTTGTATAATGCCTCTTCCTCGATTATCTCGGAGTGCCAGCACGGGTTCATGAAACATTGGTCTACAACAACAAATCTGATGTGTTACGTCACCAAACTGTCTCGTGAAATTGAACCAAGAACGCAAGTAGACGCGGTGTATATTGATTTTGCTAAAGCGTTCGATACTGTACCGCACATTCTAGTCACTGATAAAATGAGGCACATAGGATTCCCAGATTGGATAACAGAGTGGCTTTTGTCGTACTTATCGAATCGAAATGCTTATGTGGTTGTTAACTCTGCACGATCCCATTCATTCAACATCATGTCTGGTGTACCGCAAGGTAGCGTTCTCGGTCCTCTTATTTTTAACATTTTTATTAACGACCTGTGCATACTACTTTCATCATTCAAACTTTCCTTTGCCGATGATCTCAAAGTGTATCGCATCATTGCCTCGTCTTTAGACTGTGACGCTTTGCAGGAGGATATAAACGTCATGTTTACCTGTTGCGGTGACAACGGCATGCGCGTTAACAGCAAGAAGTGCAAGATAATATCTTTCACTCGCTGTATCTGTCAAACTCACCATCAGTACTATATGGACGCAGAGACACTCGAACGGGTAAATTCGATCTGCGATCTGGGAGTCACCATCGATTCAAAGCTGAGGTTTAACGATCATGTAGGGATTATATCAGCCAAAGCTTTTTCGGTATTAGGATTCATCCGTCGACACGCTTGTTACGTTTTAGATTTGGGTTGTAATTTTTTCCTGTGTTTGGTAAAAACGAGTAATTTTACACAATTGCTGCTTAAACACATTCGAACGTGCATAAACAAAAGATGCTGCAGAGGTCACATCGCTTGACAAGGAACGAGCAACGCAAATTGTTTTGACGAATAATGATTCAGCATTGAGTCTGCTGACTGTGCTTCCGCACGCACACACACATCCACATGAGCCTGTACCGGATCCGTCGAACACAGCAAAAGGCAGAAGTGAAAAGATTCCCGTGCAAACAGCACGCAAAAGAGCGTGGGTCGGAAAAGAACCCGAAAATATTCGTTTCTTTGGTTGTCGCGAGTGCGAGTAGAGTGCGTGGTGAAAATTGTTCTTCGTCGGCGCGCGGGCTGCAATTTCGGCGGTGAGTGGTGCCAAAACGACCGCCTTTCGATCCGACGGATATCGGAAGATTGCGGCAGTGTTCAAAAGATCCGAAACGAAGAGATCTGCAAACGGCCCACTTGGAAACGGCGCGGCAATCAAAAGATTTTCGCCACACAAAGCGTACATACCGGCAGCGAGAAGAGGTACCATAATTTCGGTACATAAAATAACCATAATTAAAGTACCATAACCACAGGTGCACGTGGAGAATTGACGACTATCAGCAGCACGAGATCCGATCGCTCGGACAGCGCCCGGCCGCGGTGGATCGTGGCATCGAAAGACGAAGCCTTCAAAAGAAGGCTTTTGTTCCATACTTTCAGCACCTCATTGGATCGGATTGTCTCGTGATCGTGACACGTGGTCAGTGTCGAAGCCCGCATCACCTGCGGAACCCTCAGGCGAGGTTTATTCTCCTCGGAGTGCTTGCGACATCGAAGCGACGGGGCACGCCGCTAGCAACTAGTGGTCTCGACGGAAGCGACGTCCAACGTGGAGGGAAACGAACCCGCGAGCACTTACGTTGATATGATCGACGGTGTTTTGAGGAGTGAATCCCCACCCAGAGCGACGGCAGGAGCGCAGGTGTGTTGTGCGTGTGGAGCCGAACAGACGAGCGAATAGCAGCATCATCGAGACGGCGTTTGTGTGACGGTAAGGGTGCACCTGACCGGCAAAGTGAGTACTCATAAGAAGAAAAATTGACATAGTTGGAAAGATGATAGGAGGCACAAGGTTGCCGGAAAAGTACGAAGGATAGAGAGAGGAAGACGAGGAAGTAGGAATCAGGAGTAGGAATGGGGGAGAATGGGTGCGAATGAATAAATGTTAAACTGTTATTCGACACTCTTTTGCTTTGGTTGGAGCAAATGCCGATTAGTGTTTGTGTTTTGTTGGCCCTACGGTAGTTCTGCTCTACCGCTACCGGGGAACTTGTAACACTGGCGCCCAACTGAAAATCCACATTTAAATTACCGTAAGCGGAAGTTTTTGGTTTGTGTATTGAGTTTTTGGTTTGTGCTTGAGTATCCTTGATAGGATTATTTGTTTTTAGCCTTATCGCACTAGATTTCGAGATGGATTATACGCAATTGAGTAATGAGGAAATAGATTACGAGTTGGCTCTACGTCATGTTGTCAACTTGGGACCCACTACGCACCGAGGCAAGGTGCTTCGCCTCAAGGCACTCTTGCAAGAAGAGTCCTCGAGAGACAACATGCCAACTAGCTCTGAGCATGTGATGAGTGCTCAAGCTAATATTGAAGTTTGTCAAGAGCAAGTTGAACAATTTCACTTGCTCACCGAAACAGCCGTCAATACAAGAGACATAAACGGTCTCAGTCAACTTTGTTCGCGACTGTCTCACTATCGAAGTCGGTTACGCTTAATTAATCCCCCGGTGGAATTGAAAGACACTCACACGTTGATAACGGTACACATGAATGTGTTGTTCAATAAAGTTGTCAGTGTGTTGAGATCCTGTGGTGATGGTGTACAACCAAGTGAAGTTAATGTGAACCAACAGGCAAACGCAACCGGTACGAGAAGGAGGACCATTGATCAAGAGCAAGGCGCTGTTGGAGGAGGAAACAATTCGGCGAATTCGGGGGAACACGCTGGACAACAGGACGAACTACCACCGTCAGGGTCATCGACGCCACGACTGGTTTCGTTCTCAGGAGGACGGGGTCAAAGTTTGTTATTGTCAAACTCACATGAAGATCGTCGAAGCATCAGGAGCGGCCTAAGATTATCACCGGATCGTCGTCATGGTTCACCACCTCCACCATACGACGTCAATGACGAATACGAGACTAGGGAGGCACGAGCTAGAGAGCTGCGAGCCAGAGATACAGAAGCAAGGGAAGCTCGAGCGAGGGAGCGGCAGTATAGAGAAGCACGAACTCGAGAAGAAGAAGCACGAGAAGCGCAAACAAGGGATGCACGAGCCCGAGAAGCGCAAGCCAGGGAAGAGCACCACAGGATTCGTGACGAGCTACTGGCTCGTCTGCTTCGCCAAGAAAGACAACCAGCTCCAGCAAGGCGGGAGGACGAGAGAAGGATGCTGAAGGCGGTACATAATTGGCCATTCAAATTTAGAGGAGAAAAGGATACAACATCGCTCAACATTTTCTTGGATCGCGTTGAGACGTTCGCCAGGTCAGAGGGCATGACCGACGAGACACTGCTGATCTCCATCAAGCACCTGTTACAGGAGGACTCTCTTGACTGGTATGCGAGAGCTACTTCACAGCAATTGCTACCGACATGGAATGCGTTCAAACGGGAGATACGGAGAGAATTCCTGCCAAGTGGATACTCCCAAATTCTTCGTCTGGAAGCAACATTTCGATTCCAAGGAGCCGGCGAGTCGTTTGCAAAATATTACCGGGACATCTCTGCACTTTTCCGGTTCGTAGAGCCGCCAGTTCCGGAAGAAGAGAAGTGTTTCATAGTGAAGAAGAATATGAACGCGGACTATGCAGCGATTGTTACAGCAGCAAGGCCTCGATCGTTACGAGAAATGGTAGAGATTTGTACCAGCTACGACGAAACGAGGATGCTATTGAACAGGCAGCGTCGCATCCCAATTCCACATAATGCGCTACTAGAGCCGAACTTTGCGACACCTGCGGCCAGCAGCAGGCCAGTGCAAATACCACAGCAACATCCGCATCGCTTCAACAGGGTGCACGCAGTAGAAGTCGTAGGAATTCAGGAAGAAGAAGCGTCAGCAGATCCGGAGGAAGACAACTGGCAGTACAAGCTCGATGAGCTCGTTGAGCAAGTGAACGCTCTTAAAATGAACTTCGAAAGGAAGAGCTCTAGGCCGAACGAAGCAGCGCAAAACCAGCGGCAGCCTCGATTTGGCGGTAGATCTAACCATTCGGGACCTGATCAGCTGCAGCAACCACGTCAACAATACACCAGCATGCCATCGGCGTCTGCTCAGCAACAACTACGCCCGCAGAACGCGCCA